ATTGTTCTTTTACATTTTTACAGCTGTATTTTTTTAAATAATAGGTAATAGGTAGTGAAATCTGTTATATAGACTATATGCTTAGATCGCAGTCTGTTGTTTTAATTACATAGAAGTTTGTAAAATATTGTTAAATCATGATCATCAAAAGGCCTGCTGGTACCAATATTACCACACAAACTCCATATTGCCCATTCCTACTACACTAAAATAAAGCATATATGTGTGTAATACCTGTTTAAATATGTTTAAAATTATAAGAATGTGGGGAAACTAAGGCCATGTCCTTCATGTAATGTACCTTGTCCACTCTGTCATAGAAGGATTGATGAAAGGGTGGACCATGACGGGGTGGACATTTTTTCACTAAAGTTAGCATTTAATGAGCACATGGTGGACCCTCAGTTAGAAAAGTGATTCATTTTGAAGGTGACTGTGTACTGTTTAGCAAATATATGTTGAATTTCTAAAAAGTTAATATTAATTAAGATTTATTTTAAATAAATTAATATTTCACTATGACAGGGTGGACATGTTAAGCTTGACGACATCCAATTACAAACACAATAAGATGAAAATTAAGAAATTTAAGTGTAGAAATTGTATGTACTTCCACCAGTTGGTTAAACCTCCATTGAACAAAATCAAATTGCTGGTGATGATGTCACTAAATATATCTGCCTGTGTCTTAAAGATGCAGTTATTCCACAATGACAGGGAGGACAGCAATTTCAGGAACACATACAAAATCTTTAATATTATAATGAAAATTGAACATAAATCATCAAAATTACTTGTTTTCTGAACAAACTTGCTAAGGACCATTATTACAAATTTTGTGTAATTCAACCACTCATTGAAGTTAGCAGAGGAGCACGTAGGACATGCAAATACCACATGCACCCAATCAAAAAAATGGTATAAAATGAGAGAAACACATTTCTATAGACTTATCATTGTACTGGTGTGTGTATAAATGTTTGGTAATTTATGACAAAATCTCAGAATTTAATTATTTTACAATTTGTTCATGATGACTGAGTAATTCTGAGGAGGACACCAAAGGCACTTTATAGTGATATTGACCCGGGTGGTAAGCTAGCCAATAAATCTAGACAGCAACTGACGCAAGAGCACGACTGTGTTATCTAGTAAGCTTGCTAACATCAACTGGAGATTCATAGCTAGTGACTAAAACTCTGTGAAACCTCTGGATGGTTTTGCTCAAGTCGACAGCTTTGCTAACACAGGCAAACCTCAATCAAGCACAGCAACACAAGACCAGCCCGTTCTCATTCCCACAGCGTAACATAAAAGTGGTGAATGACGGGTGGATAGGTGGGCCAGAAACCAAAGGAGACCGGTGTTGTTGAGCTGTGACATATAGTCCGCGAAGATTTCGAAGCTCTCTTCAACTATCTTATGACCGCTCACAATTATGCTGTGACCCTAAGGAGGGGGCTTAACCCCTAGGTTGGGTATAACTGGACGAAGATACCTAACTGTATATAAAGCATTTAAAAGTAGCTTCATCTCGACCAGCTACAACAGTAGAATGCTGCTACTGCAATAATGCATCAGTACTATTGAATACTTTTGTACGTTCATTTACTCCAGTACTTTTACTGGAATTTAAATGCTGGACTTTTACTTGTTAAATATTTTTACACAATTGTATCTGGTACTTAAACTAATCAGAGTACTTATTCCATTGCTGTCAGTCTTTTACATGGCATGAGAGTTGGATGGATCTGTTTTTACATTTAAGATCACAGTTTTGAATGAGAGATCCGCTCTGTATCACCCTTCTCTAGTGTACAGGCAGTGATAGCTATTCAAACACTGTAATTCAATAGTCAGGTAGTCATTGGTGTGCATTGCCCGTCATGAGACAGGAGCTTCGAGATGAATGAGTAAAGAGATGAATTTAAAAAGAAGAAAGACAGGAATAAGCGACAGTTGGCAAAAGAAAGAAGCTGCCAAAACATTTCACTGCACTTCCTTTTGTCTCTACCTTCTCCATCCCTCATCCCACAAGTAATGAAGAAGAGATGGAGGTAAGAAGACACGATAGGGGACCTTAAGACAAATATATATTCATATATTCATGTTTTTTTCAAGGTGAAGCACAGATTAAACTACCTTTCTAGAAAAAAGAAAGACGTGCCAGTAATGTTACATAACTTGCTATGACACAATATATATACGTTGTGTTTGGAGCGCATGGAGAAATTAAAAAATATAAATAAAACACAAACTCCGAGCTCTCGCTGGCAAACGGCTCCAGATCAGAGCAGAATCCTGGTGTTTAGTACTTCAGTGGCTCTGGCTTTTCATTTTTCAAGATGAATATTTGCGATGTGCCCATTTGCGAAATGTTTGCTTTGCTTTCTGTATGAACACTGAGGCTGATATCAATGAGGTCGATGCTGGATTACATGCATGCAAATCCCTCGTGCCTAGGTAGGCAATCTGAGTCCAGTGTTAGAAAGGCAGACTCCACCGCTACCAATAAAAAGTACTATATATAGAGGTACTTGCTGAATGTAAATACATTGAATGGTTATTGCCGAAAAACAAAAATCAAATATTGGGTTTGATTTCATGATGATCTTGAGGATTATAAATTTAGGGTTGGGAAAAGATCATGTTGCTTTAATACTTGTATATAAAAACACAACTTCTAAAAGACAGGGTTTTCCTGTTGAAGACACTCCCGTTCTTAATCCTGGCAAAGCTCTTATTGGTGGTTTTTCCAACAAGGCAAACAACGGCACACCACCAGACCCATTTGAATCACTGAGAAATCTGGAGATGTGGGCGGCAATTGAAAGATCTGGAACCAGGCTAGAAATCTTGAGAAAGAAAGAAGAAGCTCTGAGCTGAATGAAGGAAGCGAGATTAGAAATTCTAAATGCACCCCTCGAAGTCTTCTCATACCTTTGATTACATTCATTTGCTGCTGCTTAAAAGATGAGAAGAGATCAGACCAGTGAAAGAGTGCCCACGTCCCAGAAGAGATCGAGGTCTCTGCAGTGTGTACATGAAAGCTTAGTTAACTGTCATTTCAATCCTCTATAACTGGTGGTACAACACCAAAACGATTGAATGATTGCTAATAATTATTTCAAAATACATCAACCAAATACACATCTCTCTTGAAGATTTTTCTCCTCCTCAAGTCTAACTCAACAAACAGCTTTGGGCTGTGGTGAGAGCCTGTAAATAGCTATGTACAAAGTAAATGACTTGTAAGACTGGGTTCTCAGGGGTGTGTGTGTTTGTGCATGCATGAAGCATGCACTTTAGTGCCTGACTTTGAAATCCTGGGAGAAGCTTCTGTGGGAGTTTCTCCACATTTTCATAAAGACTTGAACAAGAAGTGGTTTCCTGGATGGGCCCCTAATTGTACTCATCTTTTGGTTCACCTGGTGTGACATATTACTCCTCTGCAACACGACTGTGTGCAGACTGAATCTGAATACATGGCTGAGCTTAGTTAAATTTACAAAAGATCCACAGTGTTGTGGACATTTGACCTCAAATCAGAAATTATAGTCACCAACATTATTAAGATACCTAAAAGCGTAGGTGTATGGAAACTTCCTGACACCTGTTACTAAAATGCAGACTCTACAAAAAACATCCAATTCCTCTCTCTCCTGCCAAAGCCCAGATTTTCATGCATGTCACCTCCTACCCTAATCTTTGTATGTACTTAGAACTGACAGTAAACAACTTGTCTTGCTTGTTCTCCGTCAGCAGGTGTCCCGACAATCCATGCTGAAAGCTGACAAGATTGTACCTGAGCTGCTTGTCACCTGACAGATTTGTTGTTATTGCTCCTGGTTGGATCCTTTTCTAAAACATTATTTCCGTTTCATAGAGCATTTACATTATTTTAAGTTAAAGCTTTAGAAATCAATATTTTTATATCAACAATGATTTAAAAGACTGTGTGTAATGTTGTGATAGGGGTTGCACATAGTGACGAACACCCAGATAATTAGCACCTGATTCTGCAGTTGTTGACTTTTCTGACCCACAGCTTTACTGTTTTGATTTACAGTGTCGGCTTTTTTTTTTTTGCCATAGATGGCAGCTGTTTCCATCAAAACAGCTTTAAAAACCCACTGTTCACTAACTGCAGAGAGACAAGACAAAGTTAACGACTGGCTGGTGAAGCATTTAGCAGTTAAAGAGACAGATGTTCCCCGTGACAACTATATAAGGTGACAATATGTTGCTGTTTTGCTGCCATCAATTCACGCTGCTTTTGCCGCTATTTGTTATGAATATTAGCTAGCTAGCTTGTAGGAAGAAATCCTCGTTCTTAATCCCACCTTCTAAACTGGGATTTCTCTTAGTCGCTCACTATGCACCTTCTGACCACAGAGGACTAAAATATCTGTATATAGCGGTGGAAATATTTCTTTTGTGTGGGTTGTCAAATAAACAATCGTTGCACTAAATGTAAGGTGTGTTCCTGTAGCTTTAGCTAGTTTGGGTGATTGGGTTTTGGCACTCAAACATGATTTTGTGTGTGTGTGTGTGTGTGTGTGTGTGTGTGTGATCACTAAGGAAAAATAATTGTTGGACAGGGATTTTCTCTTCTATTGTAGTTTTTATTCCTGGTCAACGAGCCTTGACTTGTCTCATCTTTGATGTGAGAAATCGATCAGCTGCGGCCTTTAAACGCTGAATGAGCGAGAGGGGAAAGGATTGAAGATGGACCCCCAGCTCGTAGCTTGTGTGTATGATGGATAATACTGAACCTCTCAGTCCATCATTGAAACAAAACGCTGCATAGACAGCGGTGTCACTCACTGCATAGACACTCCTGATCTGCACACTTATCTCAACAGCTGTAGTCATTAACAAAAAGAAAACCATTTATTGTCAACTGTTGCATTGATATTTCTGATGTCTTCACATTTCACAACAAGTTTTAACTCATCTTTTCTCTGTGTGTGTGTGTCGCTTCTGTGTGTGCTTCCCAGTGCTGAGCCCGAGCCCTGTTGCTGCAGCGTCAGCCAGAAGGTGTCACTCCATCTACAAGGGTTTTGCTCAGTGTCTGATGGCTCTAGGCGATAGTCTGACGGACAGCGCCCACAAGGACGAAGACACACACGAGATACACTCCATCTGCAGGTCAGTGTCTTAATAGCACACATACAGTGCCACATTAAGCACACACACACACACACACACACACACACACAACACACACACACAAATGCTGTAACAAAAATTTTTAAAACTCCGAAAACACTGAGTCGGATAAATAGAAAGCCTGCCGAGTTTCAGTATTCTAATCTGCATTTCTAAACCCCACAGGGCAGTTAGGTCATTTGTAGTGAGTATTCAGTTACTTTAGGAGAGAGGGTTTAGAAAACAAAGCCGCGAGCTCTCTGGGGAAAGCAGTACACATTCTCTCAGCCAGAACTGAGTATGCAAGGCTTTTGGAAAGAAAAGTTTAGTCAAGCATTTTATAATTCCACAAAGTCAGTCTGCTTTTTGATATCAATAGGGCACGTCCAGGCCATACATCTGTACAATACCACAGATCGAAGTCTTGGCTCTCTAATCCCTCACTGAACATGACCTGTTCACATGCAGCTATAAGAACAATGTCTACTAAAATCTTTTATGTGTGAACAGTAATGAAATGAAGGCAATGTTAACATAGACAAATCGGACCATTGCGCTAAAGTGTCTGGCTGATGTGAAGGAGAATCAGGGGCTTTAGTATGTGCTAGTGGTGTACATAACCTGTGTGCAATCATGGACTGAGGCTTAAAGGTGTTACATTAACTACGGGGTGGTGATGGCGCAATGGATAAGACGCCTGCCTTTGGGCAGTGACCGGGGTTCAATCCCCCGCTGTGACCCACCCACCATTATGTCCCTGAGCAAGACACTTAACCCCTCGTTGCTCCAGGGGCGTGCAAACTCTGACATGTATAGCAATTGTAAGTTGCTTTGGATAAAAGCGTCAGCTAAATGAATAAATGTAATATAACTACTTGCTTTAAATTAGACTCTTCAGTGTTATTATCTACATAAAAAAGAGAACACTGCTGAGACCTGCCTGTACAATACATTGACATGGATAGGGAATTCTGCACAGTGGACCTTTTACTCTGAAGGGAGAGCTTCAGTTAGTGGATTTGTTCTGCTCTGAGTTCTGTCAACAGCTTGATACTGAAGATGCTTGCGCACCAAGCTGACATTACTGACTGACATTGATATCTCTGAAATTTCTTCTTCCATTCGTGCAAACAAATTTTTCATTAGCATTTCATTCAGAATTCCCCTCGTGATGTGTCTTTGACAAGCACACATTACAGGACTGTGGGAAACTTCCTGATAAAATAAAAAATGATTTTACCAACTAGGATTATATGAGAGAGATACTGAGTCTTTCATTTACACAAACAAAATGATCACAGTGATTTATGCAGCATGACTGCTAGATTGGCACAACTCTGCCACGTGTCAGTTGAAGTTGAGTTATCACTGTTAATTTGACACTGATGATTAAAAAAACGCTACATGAAGCTTCGGTCATAAAGTTCTCACTTTTAGTATAAGGAAATATAAACATAATGATACAACAGCTACTCACATAATATGTTCATATTTTTCCATTTTTCAACAGTGGATATATATATATATATATATATATATATATATATATACAAAATATTTGTGGAAACAGTGTTGAGGATTCAGGCCTATGGGTGGGTGTTACCTATGACAGTGGTGACATTTAAGAACCAGCGTTGCTATGAAATGGACTGCCATCATCTGTGGTGCCCTATACACAGGACCATGTCATAGACCATATCATAGTGCTGCATAGCAAACCAACTTCGATTTATGTTAGCTGAGTGGTCAGCAGCTCCTATACACTGTGCAGTGTGTTTGCCGTGAATTTTACAGTAGGAGTTCTACCTAATGCTAGCTGTCTCTCCTTCATTGGTCTAATTGTGGCAAATGCCATGAATTGAATCCTGTAATCTCAGCCCTGCATACATTAATTTATGAATCAAATGATTACATGCCATAACATAAAGAGTCAGGAAGTTACGTAGGCAGTCCTCAAATCACAACCTAGTTTGTCCCCAGCTAGTTAACTGCCTTTGTGGAAGAAGGAATACATTTGACATTTGGGAAATATTATTTTTCTTGCAGAGAGGTAGATTGATACCACTCTTGTGTTTGCTAAATATGAAGCTTCCGCCACCATCTGGATGACTTAGCTTAGCTGGAAACACGGGTAAACAGCTAGCCTGGCTCTGTCAACAAAATCAGCCTACCAGCCCCTCCAAAGCTCACTAATTAATTAACATTCATTTAGCTTTTATCCAAAGCGACTTAATTTTCTATATATGTCAGAGGTGGCACGCCTCTGGAGCAACAAGGGGTTAAGTAACATGCTCAGGGACACATTGGTGGATGTGTTACAGTGGGGAATAGAACCTGGGTCTCTCACACCAAAGGCATGTGTCTTTATCCTCTGCGCCATTGCCACCTCTTCTGTCCACCTTCTGTCTTTTTTAAACACGTACAAAAAGTGAGTGTAAAAAAAACAATAAAAAGCCTTTACGGTGGGTTATGTGCTGGACTATTTTCGTTCTTGACCAGTGGAGAATCCAGGAAGTTACTGGTCCCAAACAGGTCCTTCTGATAACCTTGGGATAGGTAGATCAAGAAAGTGAATCTGTGTATTTCGAACCTTTCCTGTGATTGACTTACACAGATATTACACAAATCAAATTATCAGTCAACCAAATATTCTGTATAGCAAAGGACTTTTTGCCCCCAGGAGAGCACTTATATACGGAGCACAGTCACTGCTGCTGAAACAGTGATGGAATTTCAATTTCTGGTAATTAGCCATTTTGATATTTTAAGTAAGCAGGCTACACAACAAACACCAAGAATATACGGATTCCTTAGCAAAAATAAGTTTTAATTCCAGTTTGATTTAACTTTGAACACTTACTCCCTAACAGCGCTGCCTCCTCTCTTCTCCCAGCATATCTTCACTCTGCAGCTCTCATTTTAACGTCTCATTGTTTCTGCTGGAGGCCTGATGACGCTGATTAAAGATGAAGAACATCACGCACTTCCCTTCTGTCTTCCCCACCTTTTCTTTCTCTCACCACCCCGTTTCTCTATATCCTATATCCATCCATCATGCCTCCCTCTCTCTCTGTCATCCCTGCTCAACGCTCTATTTATACATACCTCTGTTATCCATCTTCCCGAGAGGTCCTATCCTCTCGACCAGGGAAAGGAGCCATTAATGTGTGAAGGGTCTTAGAATAGGATCTCTGATCTGAAAGCAATGTTTCTGTCGAGTGAAATTAGTACGGTTCCAAAATCATATTGAACTCCTGAAGTACGCAGAATGAGCAGACTGTAAACAGATGATAGGAACAGTAGAGATCAACCATAGAAGTCAAAGTAGACTTTACACTAAAATAAAGTTGCTGTATTACACAGCTGACAGGTTCAGTAGGTATTTAATGCAATGTAACAGGAATTGTGACTAGCACTCTATGTCACTACATTATGAATGAGACATTTGCAAACCTGGTGGATACATGCTCTATATAATGCAGCTTACAGACATTAGATCAGTTCCCCGCGACTCAGTGGAACTGACTCCAGGGAATCCAGGGAGGATTTTCCTTTTGTTCAAGACACATTTTCATTGAGATCTACAAAGTGTGACACTATAGTCCTTGAGGAAAACCTAATGGAGTCCTCCTGTGAGGAGTGTTTACTGCACTGTCTGGTCAAGCTCTCCTTTTCTAGTTCCTCCCCTCCTTTTTGAATCATGCCCTCGACTTTGCTATTTGGATGGCAGTGTTGATCAGTCGGCCTGAGACTAAGGTTCCAGACTGAAATATCTAAACCACTACTAGATGAACTGCCATGAATTGTTGTACAGGCGTTCATGGTCTCCAGAAGATGAATCCTTTTAATTGTGGCAATCCTTTAACTTTCCATTTGGCTCCTCCATGAGGTTGACATTTTTGTTTTTTAGTGGAATATCTTGGTTTGCCATAGGACTAAGTACAGATATCCATTATCCCCACTGGATTAATCTTAATGACTTTGGTGAACCCCTTCCCCTAGTGGTTTTTACATTCCCATCAGCCTCAGCCTGAGTAATTGGCAAACGTTAGTGTGCTAACATCCTAAACTACGATGGGTAGCATGAAAAGATGTTGATGCTTGATTTTGATGATGATGCTTAACATCAGCATGTTAGCGTTCAGCTCAAAGTACCACTGTGCCCAAGGGTCACACATCTTCATCTCGACTGGAGGGCATTCGTTGTGTTGCCTTTGTTCACGTGAGAAATGAAAAAATCGTGAATGAAAAATGAGAGCTCGAGAGAGAGAAGTTCAAACCCTGGCTCCTTTCTCAGGTCCACCCAGGTGGCCAATCACGACGTGGAGTGGGTGCAAATGTCTGATGGTCCGTTTCCGAAAGTTACAAGAATTGTTGGACAGACGCTATACACTAATGTCCATGTTGTTTCCACATTACGACTTACAGCTAATGAACACGCCGAAGTCGGAAGAACAACTTCCCAACTCGAGAAACTGAACCATCCAAAGAGCATACGAATGTAGCGTTACTATCCCTATGACGAGGATGTGAATTTATGTGTCTGTATCGGTGTGCATTTATGTGAGAGCATTCTCATTTTCAAAATTGTAGAAACAAAGTTTGGTTTTTAACTTTTTGGTTTGACTTTTGATTAAAATAGGGGTGTGAGTATTTCCTCACAAGTAGAATAACAACTTGGGTTACTGTGTGTGTGTGTGTGTGTGTGTGTGTGTGTGTGTGTGTGTGTGTGTGTGTCACCATGGCCCTGCAGCCCACCCATGGTACCACTCCACTGTTGTTAAGTCTCTTCTATTCCTTGAGGTACCAATTAAACTACTAATCCTGCAACCCAGCCACCTTAGTGTGAGTGTTGCCTAATGCAGGGACAAGAGAGCTCTCTCTCTCACACACACACACACACACACACACACACACACACACACACACACACACACAGAATCCACATGTTCACATACACACTGCTCCCCAGTCTACACTGTGTCCTCGCCTCACTTCTC